ACACATGGACACAGGGACACATGGACACAGGGACACATGGACACATGGATGCATGAACAATTGAACACATGGACAAATGGACACATGGACACATGGACACTTGGACACTTGGACACATGGACACATGGACACATGGACACTTGGACACTTGGACAAAGGGACACAGGGACACATGGACAAAGGGACAAATGGACACGAGGACACATGAACACAGGGACAAAGGGACACATGGACAAAGGGACAAATGGACACAAGGACACATGAACACAGGGACACATGGACACATGGACACATGGACACAGGGACACAGGGACACGGGGACACATGGACACAGGGACACATGAACACATGGGAACAGGGACACATGGACAAAGGGACACATGGCCATGGGGACACATGAACACATGGACACATGGACACAGGGACACATGGACAAAGGGACAAATGGACACAGGGACACATGGACACATGGACAAAGGGACAAATGGACACAGGGACACATGGACAAAGGGACAAATGGACACGAGGACACATGGACACATGAACACATGGACACAGGGGCACAGGGACACATGGACACATGGACACATGGACACAGGGACACAGGGACACATGGACACATGGACACATGGACACATGGAAACAGGGACACATGGATGCATGAACACTTGAACACATGGAAACAGGGACACATGGACACATGGACACTTGGACACTTGGACACTTGGACACATGGACACATGGACACAGGGACACAGGGACACATGGGAACAGGGACACATGGACAAAGGGACACATGGCCATGGGGACACATGAACACATGGACACATGAACACATGGACACAGGGACACAGGGACACAGGGACACATGGACACATGGACACTTGGACACTTGGACACTTGGACACATGGACACAGGGACAAAGGGACACATCGACACAGGGACACATGGACAAAGGGACAAATGGACATGAGGACACATGAACACTTGAACACATGGACACATGAACACATGGACACATGAACACATGAACACATGGACACAGGGACACATGGACACATGGACACAGTCAGGGACACATGGACACATGGACAAAGGGACAAATGGACACGAGGACACATGACCACTTGAACACATGGACACAGGGACACATGGACACATGGACACATGAACACATGAACACATGGACACAGGGATACATGGACACATGGACACATGGAAACATGGACACATGGACACAGGGACACATGGACACATGGACGCATGAACACTTGAACACATGGACACAGGGACAAATGGACACAGGGACACATGGACACAGGGATACATGGACACAGGGACACATGGACACATGGAAACAGGGACAGAGGGACAAATGGACACAGGTACACAGGGACACATGGATACATAAACACTTGAACACTTGAACACATGGACACAGGGACAAAGGGACACATGGACACGGGGACACTTGAACACATGGACACATGAACACATGGACACATGGGCAGGGACACAGGGACACAGGGACACAGGGACACAGGGACACATGAACACTTGAACACTTGAACACATGGACACATGGACACATGGACACATGGACACAGGGACACAGGGACACAGGGACACAGGGACACAAGGACACAAGGACATGTGGACACGGGGACAAAGGGACACATCGACACAGGGACACATGGACAAAGGGACACAGGGACACATGGACAAAGGGACAAATGGACATGAGGACACATGAACACTTGAACACATGGACACATGAACACATGGACACATGGACACAGGGACACATGGACACATGGACACAGTCAGGGACACATGGACACATGGACAAAGGGACAAATGGACACGAGGACACATGACCACTTGAACACATGGACACAGGGACACATGGACACATGGACACATGAACACATGAACACATGGACACAGGGATACATGGACACATGGACACATGGAAACATGGACACATGGACACAGGGACACATGGACACATGGACGCATGAACACTTGAACACATGGACACAGGGACAAATGGACACAGGGACACATGGACACAGGGATACATGGACACAGGGACACATGGACACATGGAAACAGGGACAGAGGGACAAATGGACACAGGTACACAGGGACACATGGATACATAAACACTTGAACACTTGAACACATGGACACAGGGACAAAGGGACACATGGACACGGGGACACTTGAACACATGGACACATGAACACATGGACACATGGGCACAGGGACACAGGGACACAGGGACACAGGGACACAGGGACACATGAACACTTGAACACTTGAACACTTGAACACATGGACACATGGACACATGGACACATGGACACAGGGACACAGGGACACAGGGACACAGGGACACAAGGACACAAGGACATGTGGACACGGGGACACAGGGACACATGAACACTTGAACACTTGAACACATGGACACATGGACACATGGACACAGGGACACATGGACAAAGGGACAAAGGGACAAATGGACACAGGGACACATGGACACATGAACACATGGACACAGGGACACATGGACACATGGACAAAGGGACAAATGGACACGAGGACACATGGACACATGGGCACATGGACACATGGACACATGGACACAGGGACACATGGACACATGAACACATGGATACATGGACACAGGGACACAGGGACAAAGGGACACATGGGACACATGGACACATGAACACTTGAACACATGGACACATGGACACATGAACTCTTGAACACATGGACACAGGGACACAAACACTTGAACACATGGACACAGGGACAAAGGGACACATGGACACGGGGACACATGGACACGGGGACACATGAACACTTGAACACATGGACACATGGACACAGGGACACAGGGACACATGGACACATGGGACACATGGGACACATGGGACACATGGACACATGGACACATGGACACAGGGACACATGGGACACATGGGACACATGGACACATGAACACATGGACAAAGGGACACATGACTTCCGGCGCCAGCTCCCGCTGTGCAGCTCGTCACTTTGGCTCTCTTCTCTTTCCGACCCTTTCTCTATTTATTTCTTGTAGATGTGCTTTTTTATTTTTTTTATATTTTTCGTAGACAAGCGTTTATTTGTGCATTGTGCACACGGGAAGCCTAGCCTCGTGGACTTTCTCACTGGATTAACATGTCTTCGGCACTTTTTTCGGAGTCCTCCGCTCACAGAGCCACGAGACCAGCGTGTCCCATTGTTTACACACGGGAGCAGCTTCTCGGACTTAGAGACTCCGCTTTCCGGCACTCAGAGAAGCCGGTGATCCCCTTGGAGATCCGTAGGAGACGCAGGGGCTCCAGAGGAGGCCGAAAGAGGAAGAAGAGACCGTATCTCCCGTCCATCATCATGGGGAACGTACGGTCCATCTCTAATAAGACTGAGGAGCTGACCGCACTGGTCCGCCATCATAAAGAGTACAGACAATGTGGACTTATGTGTTTTGTGAGATTTCATAACACTTTTAAGCAACTTTTGTTAAAGTTAAACTCATCATTCTATCAATGTGCAGAAGCCAGTACTTTTCCCTTGTTGTGTCTATCTGAAGGCCAAGCTACAAGCACACTGTGGCAGCTGCTGATTGGAGGTCTCCATGCCTCCGCTCTGTATAATACACTTGCATTCTATTGTATCTGTGATCGTGTTCGTGCTGTCTCTACCATTGACAATAAAACATGTCTTCTGTCTGAATGAAAGACGCGATCCCAGACATGTCATCTTCTTCACACTGTACCAACTAAGAAGGTGCGGTGTTTTTCTAACAACCACCCATGGGTGACCCCTGAGCTTAAAGCCCTCCTGAACCTCAAGAAAAGGGCTTTGATCATCTCAGGGGACAGGGAGGAGCAGAAGAGGATCCAGCACGAGCTCCAGTGGAGGATCAGGAGGGCCAAGAAGGACTATGGGAAAAAGCTGGAGCAGAAGCTGGCCCAGGGAAACGCCCGCGCTGGCACTTGGAGCCTGCAGGGGGCGCTGTGAGGGTCATGTTTTTCGACTTCTCCAGTGCTTTCAACACCATCAGGCCGGCACTGCTGCAGGGGAAGATGGAGGACGCGGGAGTGGACAGTAGCCTCACTGCATGGACCATCAACTACCTCACTGCATGGACCATCAACTACCTCACTGCATGGACCATCAACTACCTCACTGCATGGACCATCAACTACCTCACTGCATGGACCATCAACTACCACACTGCATGGACCATCAACTACCTCACTGCATGGACCATCAACTACCTCACTGCATGGACCATCAACTACCTCACTGCATGGACCATCAACTACCTCTCAGAGCGACCACAGTACGTGCGGCTGCAGCTGTGAGTCTGAGGTGGTCGTCTGCAGCACTGGGGCCCCTCAGGGCACTGTCCTCTCACCGTTTCTCTTCACCATCTACACCTCAGACTTCACACACGACACACACAGCTGTCACCTGCAGAAGTTCTCCGACGACTCCGCCATCGTGGGCTGTGTGTCTGAGGGGAACCAACTGGAATATCGGTCGGTTATCAAGGACTTTGTCGACTGGTGTGAGTGCAACCACTTGTGCTTGAACACCAGTAAGACCAAGGAGATGATCATCGACTTCAGGAGAAAACCACTTTCCCACACGCTGCTGAACATCCAGGGGGAGGACATTGAGCTGGTGGACAGCTTCAAGTACCTGGGTGTTCACATTAACAATAAACTGGACTGGTCCATAATACAAACGCCCTGCACAAGAAGGGCCAAAGTCGCCTCTTTCTTCTGAGGAGGCTGAGGTCCTTCTGAGGAGAATGAGGTCCTTCTGAGGAGGCTGAGGTCCTTCTGTGGAGGCTGAGGTCCTTCTGAGTGAGCAGGCCTCTGCTCAGGACTTTTTATGACTCTGTGGTAGCTTCTGCCATTTCCTACGCTGCCGTGTGCTGGGCCCCGGGCAGCACAGAGCGGGACAGAAACAGACTGAACAAGCTGGTCAGGAGGGCCAGCTCCACTCTGGGCTGCTCCCTGGACTCTGTGGAGGAGGTGAGGGACAGGAGGCCCCTGGACTCTGTGGAGGAGGTGAGGGACAGGAGGCCCCTGGACTCTGTGGAGGAGGTGAGGGACAGGAGGCCCCTGGACTCTGTGGAGGAGGTGAGGGACAGGAGGCCCCTGGACTCTGTGGAGGAGGTGAGGGACAGGAGGCCCCTGGACTCTGTGGAGGAGGTGAGGGACAGGAGGCCCCTGGACTCTGTGGAGGAGGTGAGGGACAGGAGGCCCCTGGACTCTGTGGAGGAGGTGAGGGATAGGAGGCCCCTGGACTCTGTGGAGGAGGTGAGGGACAGGAGGCCCCTGGACTCTGTGGAGCAGGTGAGGGACAGGAGGCCCCTGGACTCTGTGGAGGAGGTGAGGGACAGGAGGCCCCTGGACTCTGTGGAGGAGGTGAGGGACAGGAGGCCCCTGGACTCTGTGGAGGAGGTGAGGGACAGGAGGCCCCTGGACTCTGTGGAGGAGGTGAGGGGCAGGAGGCCCCTGGACTCTGTGGAGGAGGTGAGGGGCAGGAGGCCCCTGGACTCTGTGGAGGAGGTGAGGGACAGGAGGCCCCTGGACTCTGTGGAGGAGGTGAGGGACAGGAGGCCCCTGGACTCTGTGGAGGAGGTGAGGGGCAGGAGGCCCCTGGACTCTGTGGAGGAGGTGAGGGGCAGGAGGCCCCTGGACTCTGTGGAGGAGGTGAGGGACAGGAGGTGCTAGTCAAAGCCACCTCCATCATGAACAACACCTCCCACTGCACAGGACTGAGGAGGAGCTGAGGAGCTCCTTCAGTGGAAGACTGAGGCACCCTCAGTGTAGGAAGGAGCAGGGCCTTTATCCCCACTGCTGTCAGACTGTACAATAAGTCACTTTAAATGATCACTGTGTGAAAACCTGCACTACTATTGACACTGTTTCCAACTGACACTTGTCACTTTTGTTGCACATAATTATTGTCACTTTATTGTACATATATCCTGCATGTAACATGTTTGCACATTTCCTCCTTTTGCACAATCTGAGTGTCTCTATCCATGCCAAATGTGACATGTAAATTTCTCCTCTGAGAGATAAATAAAGCACATCTTATCTTATCTTATGAACTCATGGACACATGGACACAGGGACAAAGGGACACATGAACACAGGGACACATGGACACAGGGACAAAGGGACACATGAACACAGGGACACATGGACACAGGGACACAGGGGACACATGGACACAGGGACACAGGGACAAAGGGACACATGGACACAGGGACACATGAACACATGGACACATGGACACAGGGACACATGAACACATGGACAAGGGGACACATGAGCACAGGGACACATGGACACATGAACATGGACAAGGGGACACATGAGCACAGGGACACAGGGACACATGGACACATGGACACAGGGACACATGAACACATGGACAAGGGGACACATGAGCACAGGGACACATGGACAAGGGGACACATGAGCACAGGGACACATGGACAAGGGGACACATGAGCACAGGGACACAGGGACACATGGACACATGGACACAGGGACACATGAACACATGGACAAGGGGACACATGAGCACAGGGACACAGGGACACATGGACACATGGACAAGGGGACACATGAGCACAGGGACACAGGGACACATGGACACATGGACAAGGGGACACATGAGCACATGGACACAGGGACACATGAACACATGGACAAGGGGACACATGAGCACAGGGACACAGGGACACATGAACACATGGACACATGGACACAGGGACACATGAACACATGGACACATGGACACAGGGACACATGAACACATGGACACAGGGATAAAGGGACACATGGACACAGGGATAAAGGGACACATGGACACAGGGACACATGAACACATGGACACAGGGACACAGGGACACAGGGACACATGGACACATGGACACGTGGGAACGAGGGCTCCTTCTGACGATCTGATCCTGTCCTCAGCTCTGGGAGACGGTTCTTTACTTTGCTCTGATCCAGAGACTGGTCTTCAGAGTCCGGACAACATCCTGGGTAAGACCACACCCGAACCCTACACCCGAACCCTACACCCGAACCCTAAACCCGAACCCTAAGCCCGATTTTTCACGTCTTTAAATGTTGATAATGTGTTACACACATACCCTACATACTGTGTTTGTTACACACTCTGTGTGTTACATACTCTGTGTGTGTGTGAGATTTCATAACACTTTTTTTGTTAAAGTTAAACTCATCATTCTATCAATGTGCAGAAGCCAGTACTTCTCCCTTGTTGTGTCTATCTGAAGGCCAAGCTACATGGCACTGTGGCAGCTGCTGATTGGAGGTCTCCATGCCTCCGCTCTGTATAATACACTTGCATTCTGTTGTATCTGTTGTTCGTGCTGTCTCTACCATCGACAATAAAACATGTCTTCTGTCGGAATTTAAGACGCGATCCCAGACTCGGCTCATCCTCTTCATGTGTTACGTACTGTGTGTGTTACATTCTGTGTGTTACGTACTGTGTGTTACATACTCTGTACTGTAGCCACAGCTACAGAAGTGACAGAAGTGACGCAACCAGTCTGTGCCATCGGCCCCTCCCACCACCACCAACCATTCACACACACACCAGACTAAGTCTAGGCAATGGGGGTGAAGTATCTTGCCTAAGGACACAACCACAGTTTGGCACTTTACAGCCGCAGTCGCCCCACTGTGGCTGGTGTTCCCAGAGGTTAAGTGTCTTGCCCAAGAACACAACGACAGCAGACAGTGGGAGTCGATGGTGAAGGTCGGGCTCAAACCCACAACCCTCTGGCTCAAAGGCCAATGCTCTACCAACTGAGCTACTGTTGCCCGTATACTATGTGTGTTACATACTGTGTGTGTAGTAGTAGTAGTAGTAATCCTTATTTATATACCGCCTTTTCACTGCACATCGGAGTCTCAAAGCGGTTTACAATTGTTATTTTTTTGGGGTTGGGGCCAGTACAGGAGGCACATGCCAGACCTATTGTACATATTTTTAGTGGTAGGGGAAACCGGAGCATCCGGAGGAAACCTACGCAGACACGGGGAGAACATGCAAACTCCACTCAGAAAGGCCCTGGTCCAACCGGGATTCGAACCCAGGACCTTCTTGCTGAGAGGCGAGAGTGCTATCCACTCAGCCACCGTGCCGCCCATGTGTGTTACATTGTTGTGTTGCAGTGTGTGTTATATAAATAATTGTTATATAAATAATTGTTGTGTTGCAGAATGTGTTATATAAATAATTGTTGTGTTGCAGAATGTGTTATATAAATAATTGTTGTGTTGCAGAATGTGTTATATAAATAATTGTGTTGCAGAGTGTGTGGGAGAGAGGTTCACGTGGCTACACTCCGTCCTCCAGAGTTTCTCGTCAGTTCTTCTCTTCAGCCTCAAACTGCGCTGCTCCACCGCCCTCTGCCTCCACCACCTGCAGGACTACGGCTGCCACTGCCGCTTCACAGGGGGGGCCGCAGGGGGGCCGAGCCGGGGGCCCTTGGACCCGCTGGACGCGTAAGTGCTGTAGTAATAGGAGTTTATTTCCAGAGAAAGACCAGAGAGAGACCAGAGAGAGACCAGAGAGAGACCAGAGAGAGACCAGAGGGAGACCAGAGAGAGAGACCAGAGAGAGACCAGAGAGAGACCAGAGAGAGACCAGAGAGAGACCAGAGAGAGACCAGAGAGAGACCAGAGAGAGACCAGAGAGAGAGAACCAGAGAGAGACCAGAGAGAGACCAGAGGGAGACCAGAGAGGAGACCAGAGAGAGACCAGAAAGAGACCAGAGAGAGACCAGAGAGAGAGACCAGAGAGAGACCAGAGAGAGACCAGAGAGAGACCAGAGAGAGACCAGAGAGAGACCAGAGAGAGACCAGAGAGAGACCAGAGAGAGAGACCACAGAGAGACCAGAGAGAGACCAGAGAGAGACCAGAGAGAGACCAGAGAGAGACCAGAGAGAGACCAGAGAGAGACCAGAAAGAGACCAGAGAGAGACCAGAGAGAGAGACCAGAGAGAGACCAGAGAGAGACCAGAGAGAGACTAGAGAGAGACCAGAAAGAGACCAGAGAGAGAGACCAGAGAGAGACCAGAGAGAGACCAGAGAGAGACCAGAGAGAGAGACCACAGAGAGACCAGAGAGAGACCAGAGAGAGACCAGAGAGAGACCGACAGAGAGACCAGAGAGAGACCAGAGAGAGACCAGAGAGAGACCAGAGAGAGACCAGAGAGAGACCAGAGAGAGAGACCAGAGAGAGACCAGAGAGAGACCAGAGAGAGACCAGAGAGAGAGACCTGAGAGAGAGACCAGAGAGAGACCAGAGAGAGACCAGAGAGAGAGACCTGAGAGAGAGACCAGAGAGAGACCAGAGAGAGACCAGAGAGAGAGACCAGAGAGAGAGACCAGAGAGAGACCAGAGAGAGACCAGAGAGAGACCAGAGAGAGACCAGAGAGAGACCAGAGAGAGACCAGAGAGAGACCAGAGAGAGACCAGAGAGAGACCAGAGAGAGAGAGAGACCAGAGTATAATTTCCATGGTTGTCCTGTTCAGGTGCTGTGAGAGCCACAGACTGTGTTACCAGAGTGCTGCCCCCTGCAGACCGGAGGTGGCGCTGCTCCCACAGAATCTGACCTGTTCCTCTGTGAACATCAGCCTCAGCTGCGGTGAGTCCTGCACCTGACGATGCAACGCTGACATTTCCACTGTCCGAGTAATAAAGGGGTCTGTGCGGCCCCTCCCACCACAGACTGAGTTTCAAACCGTGGGATTCATCTTTGCTCTTTCTGATGTTCTGTCTCTGTCTAGTGTTGTTGCACTTTGAGTTTCCCCAACTGTGCTATAAGTAAACCTGCCTTCAGTCTGATGTGTGTACCATGTGTGTGTACCATGTGTGTGTAACATGTGTGTACCATGTGTGTGTACCGTGCGTGTGTACCATGCGTGTGTACCATGCGTGTGTACCATGCAGCAGCTCGAGTCCTGACTAGAACCAGGAAGTACGACCACATTAGTCCTGACTAGAACCAGGAAGTACGACCACATTAGTCCTGACTAGAACCAGGAAGTACGACCACATTAGTCCTGACTAGAACCAGGAAGTACGACCACAGTAGTCCAGACTAGAACCAGGAAGTACGACCACATTAGTCCTGACTAGAACCAGGAAGTACGACCACATTAGTCCTGACTAGAACCAGGAAGTACGACCACATTAGTCCAGTCCTCAGGTCTCTGCACTGGCTTCCTGTGGCTCAGAGAATAGACTTTAAAACAGCTCTGCTTGTTACAAGTCTCTCCATGGCCTCGCACCAAAATATATTAGTGACATGTTAGTCCCATATGAACCAGCCCGGACTCTGAGGAGCACAGGGACTGGCCTCCTGCTGGGACTCTGAGGAGCACAGGGACTGGACTCCTGCTGGGACTCTGAGGAGCACAGGGACTGGACTCCTGCTGGGACTCTGAGGAGCACAGGGAGGACTCCTGCTGGGACTCTGAGGAGCACAGGGACTGGACTCCTGCTGGGACTCTGAGGAGCACAGGGACTGGACTCCTGCTGGGACTCTGAGGAGCACAGGGACTGGACTCCTGCTGGGACTCTGAGGAGCACAGGGACTGGACTCCTGCTGGGACTCTGAGGAGCACAGGGACTGGCCTCCTGCTGGGACTCTGAGGAGCACAGGGACTGGACTCCTGCTGGGACTCTGAGGAGCACAGGGACTGGACTCCTGCTGGGACTCTGAGGAGCACAGGGACTGGACTCCTGCTGGGACTCTGAGGAGCACAGGGACTGGACTCCTGCTGGGACTCTGAGGAGCACAGGGACTGGACTCCTGCTGGGACTCTGAGGAGCACAGGGACTGGACTCCTGCTGGGACTCTGAGGAGCACAGGGACTAGACTCCTGCTGGGACTCTGAGGAGCACAGGGACTGGCCTCCTGCTGGGACTCTGAGGAGCACAGGACTGGACTCCTGCTGGGACTCTGAGGAGCACAGGGACTGGACTCCTGCTGGGACTCTGAGGAGCACAGGGACTGGACTCCTGCTGGGACTCTGAGGAGCACAGGGACTGGCCTCCTGCTGGGACTCTGAGGAGCACAGGGACTGGCCTCCTGCTGGGACTCTGAGGAGCACAGGGACTGGCCTCCTGCTGGGACTCTGAGGAGCACAGGGACTGGCCTCCTGCTGGGACTCTGAGGAGCACAGGGACTGGACTCCTGCTGGGACTCTGAGGAGCACAGGGACTGGACTCCTGCTGGGACTCTGAGGAGCACAGGGACTGGCCTCCTGCTGGGACTCTGAGGAGCACAGGGACTGGACTCCTGCTGGGACTCTGAGGAGCACAGGGACTGGACTCCTGCTGGGACTCTGAGGAGCACAGGGACTGGCCTCCTGCTGGGACTCTGAGGAGCACAGGGACTGGGACCTCCTGCTGGGACTCTGAGGAGCACAGGGACTGGACTCCTGCTGGGACTCTGAGGAGCACAGGGACTGGCTCCTGCTGGGACTCTGAGGAGCACAGGGACTGGACTCCTGCTGGGACTCTGAGGAGCACAGGGACTGGACTCCTGCTGGGACTCAGGACTGAGGGACTCTGAGGAGCACAGGGACTGGACTCCTGCTGGGACTCTGAGGAGCACAGGGACTGGACTCCTGCTGGGACTCTGAGGGACTCTGAGGAGCACAGGGACTGGACTCCTGCTGGGACTCTGAGGAGCACAGGGACTGGACTCCTGCTGGGACTCTGAGGAGCACAGGGACTGGACTCCTGCTGGGACTCTGAGGAGCACAGGGACTGGACTCCTGCTGGGACTCTGAGGAGCACAGGGACTGGACTCCTGCTGGGACTCTGAGGAGCACAGGGACTGGACCTCCTGACTGGGACTCTGAGGAGCACAGGGACTGGACTCCTGCTGGGACTCTGAGGAGCACAGGGACTGGACTCCTGCTGGGACTCTGAGGAGCACAGGGACTGGACTCCTGTTAGTGCCCAGAGTCAGAACTAAACATGGGGAGGCTGCTTTTCAGATTCATGCAGCTAAAATCTGGAACAATCTTCCTGAAGATGTGAGACAGGCCTCCTCTCTGACAATGTTTAAAACCAGGTTAAAGACAGTTCTGTTTAGCTGTGCTACAACTGAGGGATTTTATATTTTTATCTTTTTAATGTTCTGTGATTATTTATGATTTTACTGCTTTCTTGTTCAGCACTTTGAGTTGCCTTGTGTATGAATTGTGCTATACAAATATACTTGCCTTGCCTTGCCTTACCATGCGAGTGTAAAGTGTGTGTACCATGTGTGTGTACCATGTGTGTGTACCATGCGTGTGTACCATGGGAGTGTAACATGTGTGTGTACCATGTGTCCAGAGGGAGGTTCCTGGTGCGAGCAAAGACTCTGTGAATGTGACAAAGCCGCAATGTTCTGTCTGAGCCATGAGCCTTATGACCCCCACCTCAGAGACCTGCCCCCAGAGGCCTGTGCTGGTACTGCAGGTAACACGCACACACACACATAGAGAGACACACATACAAACCCCGCCCCAGACTCTCCTGATCCCCTCGTCCTGGTCCCAGACTCTTCTGATCCCCTCGTCCTGGTCCCAGACTCTTCTGATCCCCTCGTCCTGGTCCCAGACTCTCCTGATCCCCTCGTCCTGGTCCCAGACTCTCCTGATGCCCTCGTCCTGGTCTCAGACTCTCCTGATCCCCTCGTCCTGGTCCCAGACTCTCCTGATCCCCTCGTCCTGGTCCCAGACTCTCCTGATCCCCTCGTCCTGGTCCCAGACTCTCCTGATCCCCTCGTCCTGGTCCCAGACTCTCCTGATCCCCTCGTCCTGGTCCCAGACTCTTCTGATCCCCTCGTCCTGGTCCCAGACTCTCCTGATCCCCTCGTCCTGGTCCCAGACTCTCCTGATCCCCTCGTCCTGGTCCCAGACTCTCCTGCTCCCCTCGTCCTGGTCCCAGACTCTCCTGCTCCCCTCGTCCTGGTCCCAGACTCTCCTGATCCCCTCGTCCTGGTCCCAGACTCTCCTGATCCCCTCGTCCTGGTCCCAGACTCTCCTGATCCCCTCGTCCTGGTCCCAGACTCTCCTGATGCCCTCGTCCTGGTCCCAGACTCTCCTGATGCCCTCGTCCTGGTCTCAGACTCTCCTGATCCCCTCGTCCTGGTCCCAGACTCTCCTGATCCCCTCGTCCTGGTCCCAGACTCTCCTGATCCCCTCGTCCTGGTCCCAGACTCTCCTGATCCCCTCGTCCTGGTCCCAGACTCTCCTGATCCCCTCGTCCTGGTCCCAGACTCTTCTGATCCCCTCGTCCTGGTCCCAGACTCTCCTGATCCCCTCGTCCTGGTCCCAGACTCTCCTGATCCCCTCGTCCTGGTCCCAGACTCTCCTGCTCCCCTCGTCCTGGTCCCAGACTCTCCTGATCCCCTCGTCCTGGTCCCAGACTCTTCTGATCCCCTCGTCCTGGTCCCAGACTCTCCTGATCCCCTCGTCCTGGTCCCAGACTCTCCTGATCCCCTCGTCCTGGTCCCAGACTCTCCTGATCCCCTCGTCCTGGTCCCAGACTCTCCTGATGCCCTCGTCCTGGTCTCAGAGTCTGCAGCAGTGAACGGCTCCGAGGGATTCTCCCTCCACAGCTCTACAGCGCCATCTTCAGGTCGTTACTATACTCATCACTGCATGAAAAGTTAGATTTTCGTCACCCTAAACGGCAGGAAATCACGCTCTTTTTCGGCATCTCAGGCAGTTTTCAAAGCGCGCAGTTAGGTTGCCCTGTCCTCCAAACTACCTCATCCATCCGTTTTTTGACGGGGTTCGGTTTCTGGCCGAACCTCAGAATTTTTCCCCACCGAACCCGAACCCTGCACTTACACTATACGCGCTGTCTCGATTCTCGATTCTCAATTTTTCCCATCTAAACATGTCCAGGATCAAAAACATAGTGTCTAAAGCAGACTTGGAGATTCTTATCCATGCATTTGTCTCCAGTAGGTTAGACTACTGTAACAACAGCTGCAGTACATTCAAAATGCAGCAGCTCCAGTCCTGACAAGAACCAGGAAGTACGATGGCAAGGCAAGTTTATTTGACTAGCACAATTCATACACAAGGCAACTCGAAGTGCTGAGCAAAATAAGAAAGCATTAAAATAAATAATCACAGTACATTAACAAAGATAAATATAAAATCCCTCAGTTGTAGCACAGCTAAACAGAACTGTTTTTAACCTGGTTTTAAACATTGTCAGAGAAGAGGCCTGTCTCACTTTAGCTGTGCTACAACTGAGGGAATTTATATTTTTGCTACACAAATAAACCTCCCTTGCCTTACTGTGTGATGCAGTTTAGTCTTACCCTCTTTCTTCTCACTTGACTCTGAGCTGAACTCTTCGCCACATCCGCCCTCAGTGAGTTCTCTGGCTTGACATTTTGATGGCTCCTGCGAACCGTCTCATAAGTCTTACAGGCCGCTAGAAAACAATCAAAAGAGTGGTATGAATAAAAATCAAACGCAAGTCACAGTAACGTCACACAAGGAAGAAACAGTAAAACACTTACACACAATGTCGTCTTTATCAACATGGTGGAAATGTGGACTTGCAGATATTGTGTTTGGCAAATAGGAGGTCACCGTCTCATTACGAGGCTAGATTAGTCTGAAAACAAAGTGTACAGTTATGATTGGTATCTATACATATCCATTTCCAATGTGTAGATAAACCAAATTCAATTTCCATGGATACATTAACAATACTTACATAACCTTTTTGAGAAAATGGATCCTTCAATGAAGAAAAAAGTGTGATAATTCTAAGAGCATAGCTTTCTTTTTGTTTTCGGGAAGGCATTTGTCTAAGGAAAGAAAAACACTCATGGTCAAGGGACTTCATGGTTACATAAAAAGGCTAAATTAATAGTTTCTACAAGTACATATTTTCACGGGGACCAAACCAAGAGATAATCTACAGGTGAACATCTACCTAGGTCATTTATAAAAGAGATAAGTACTATTTATCTTACAATGGGGAATCAATAACAGTGCTGAGAGAAACTGAATTGTTATGTGATTATTGTGAAAGGTCTTTCAAATGATTTTCATTTTATTTTGAGTAAATATCCTTCCACTTGTAAGAAGGAACTTTTGAGTAATAACTGATACAACATACCCATGTGTTTCACTCATGTCACTGACGAGAAGGTCGACAAGTTGTCTTTGAGAGCGGTGACTTAGTGATCTCACAGAATTATAATCTTTAAGGATCTCTCGGTCACCAGGGTTTTCCTGCAGTTCCACCATCTACAAACATTTGGAAAATGTAAAATGACAATCTACAATTGTACCAAAAATCTTATGATACAAAATGCAGCAGGACCTCTTTAGCTGTGTCCTTCTCACACATGTCCTGATTGGATCTCCTTGTAACTGCCACAGAGGACTCTCCTTTAGGAGGAGACTCTGGGTTCAGGTCAATTGAAAGTGATGGTGTCCATTTCCATTTGAGAAAGATCTGTTAAAAAAATAAAACATCTAAATATGATGCATTACTTATAATACTTTGTCATTTCATGATATCGAATGTGAGATAAATGTTGTGTCTCTCCCGTGTCTCCTCCTGAAGCAAAACTCCTGAATTTAAAGCTCGGATACCCACATTTTTCCTCCATGCATTAACAATGCATGTTATTTGCAGTGTTGGGCACGTTACTTTGAAAAGTAATTAGTTATAGTTACTAGTTACTTCTCCCAAAAAGTAACTGAGTTACTAACGGAGTTACTCCACTCTAAAAGTAACTAGTTACCAGTAAAAGTAACTATTGCGTTACTTTTTCGTTTTGTTCTGGAACATAATGTGCACTCGAGGTGCGCATTTTTACCTTTAACCTTTAACCTCAGTGAGTTTAAATAGTGCCAATGTTTCCATCTAGAAAAGGCTGTAAGCACTAAACACCAACACGCTCCACTGTGAATGTGGAAACACCGGTGAGCACTGACTTCAGCCCAATCAGATGAACATATATATATATATATATATATATATATCATATAAATCAAGTGGACACTTTGTTTGGCTACAGCAGAATATGTTTCATGCATTGTTTGTTCAAACAAAACGCAAAACTATGAGTTATGGGTCTTACCTTATAAATGACCTGCACAGGCCACTTCGGTTCAGACCAGTTCTGTGTTTAAGTCCAGATAATAGTTTGAGCGTAGATATGTAATCCTCCATTTGGAAATGAGTTTTAAAAAGTAAAACAAAACGCGTGTGTCCTCCGTAAACTATTGTTTTGCTGCAGCCGGCTGCATCCAATTTCTAAAATCAACCGTCTTACACTTCACCTCTCTTTCTTATCATTCCTATAGTCATTGAAAAATTACCCTATGTGCATTTTAGATTATGTAAAAATGTGTTATATGTATGTTAGTCAAACCTGTTGCTGCCCTTAGCAGATAAACCAGGAAGAGAAAGGAGCTTATCCATGGAATTGTATGCAGCCGACTTCTGCGCTCACATGAGCTCCTCTGAGGCCTCACGGTGATACAAGCCGTGGTTGAGTGAGATTAAGACCCATATTTGTTTCAAAAACACAGTTTATGACCATCCTCTCAACTGTAGACATGTAGATTGTAATGGAAATATGTTTTACATCAGCCAATAATTGCTGAGAGGTTTTCTCATCCTTCTCTCATGACAACACGCACCAGTCCTATCACAAAGTAAAAAGAGAAGTTTATTGTGCGTCTTGAGTAACGCGCAGTAACAGGATGTCGGAAATGATAACGGCGTTATAGTTACAGTCAAAGTAATTAGTTAGATTACTCGTTACTGAAAAAAGTAACGGCGTTAGTAACGCCGTTACTAGTAACGCCGTTATTCCCATCACTGGTTATTTGTGCACAAAAGTAAAATGTTGTGAACAAATAAAACACGCAACAGGCCATTTTTTATGATTATTTTGCAGACTTAAGAGCCCTGTGAGTCCTTGTTTGACTTTTTGGGCTGAGTGGATTTTTAAATCCACTGCAGGCAGTGTCTCTCTCTGGACTAACTCGTTTTAATGGATTTTTTACTGCTTTTAATTCTTTTTAAAGTTACAGTTTAATGTATTTTTTATTGAAACTTCTTCACAAGCTCTTGAGAATTGTGAATTGGAGCCCAGAGCAAACTGAGACAATGAAGATGTGTTGCTGAAAACGTGCTAGCTCGGAGGCTACCACGAGGGCACCACGTCATGAGCTTTTATTAAACCTACACAGACATGGAACGCGACACTGCAATAACCACAAACCCTATAAACGACATTAGTCGCCTCACATTGGAGCTTCGTGAGAGGGACCGTGCCACTATTGCAGACCTCCGTAAAGAAGTCCTTCGCCTCACTGCAGAGCTGCAGGATAAACAGTCACTCGTGTCCAAACTTTTTGATGTCGCTGGCGGGCAGCACTCACGGCTTATGTCACTGAGCGCTGCATACTGTGACACTGTCGTGTGGGAGAGGTCTGTCAGCTCTGGACCCTCCTGTTCTACACCTAAGTGCCCGGTTCCGAATGAGGAACCCGCGAACTGCGAGGAGCCATCCAGCGCCGTGGCCCATGTCCTAAGCCTGTCAAACCGCTATGCAGCCCTCTCCACTGACATCCCAGCCCCCTCAGCAGAACCTCTGGACTCTGCAGCGTACATATTTATGATGTATTAGAATTAATGAAAGGTTACAAAATGGAAGTTATTTTGATAAATCTACTAAATACAAGGAAACACACCATCACTACTTACTGAATCAATATTTTGAGCTATTAAACGTACAGCGAGTAGCTTAGTATAATATGTATGCTAAATGTATTTTTTTTTTGTCTTACTGCACAAACAGAATAACAATCAATTGCATGTAGAACACTGCACCTGTACAGAATTAACACTAATACTATTCTGAAATTACATTACATATTTAGCGATAGTTCACCTTTTTAAACCCACTAAGGACAATGTCAAACAGCGAATAACATACTATACAGTAGTCCTCCATGTTCCTTGCAATATAACAGATTGAAAATAACCAATGATATGGTTATCACTCATTTACATGGCTGATCTTATTCATACCACATTTACCTAAACTTGTTCATTTTAAGGTTTGAAAATATCTCTTACAAACACGTTTTTTAAATGTGTTCCTTGGAAGTGATTTTTTAACTTACGCCTTCTCTATCTACTCTTACCTCTCTCTCTGACTGTTTCACTGAGCCAAAGCAATTTCCAAGTCTGTGACTTCCTGTTACTTACATGGCAATAAAAATGATTCTGATTTATGTATTATGTGAAAAATTAAGCTAAGATTCATTGAGTTGTTCAGGTGTTCTCAAATTCCCTGGGCATTGGTTGGAATACAATCACACCAGAATTCAAAGGAGTAACAATTTATTTATCCGAATTCTGTAGAAGCGTGCAAGCCACAGCAAAACGAGCCTTTTCCATTTCATTTGGAGAGGTTTCGATGTGGCTCAAGACTCTGTTGAGGAGATAGGCTTCAGCAAACTGTAAAATAGAAATATTAAATTCCATATTTTCCGTTATGTGTGTCAAATGGTCTAAATAGATATTTACCATTAAAATCAAAACCCCACAGCTGCAAGAGTCTTGCTGTCTTTTGTGCTCTAGTGTTGCAATTGACCACTTTTCATTTTCCATTTTTTCCACTCTCCTCAAGAAGTTCCTAGATCAAACACAAGTCATTTTTATATTAAAGTTCTTAGATGGATTAATCAGAGATGAAGAACCTCCAGTTTTGGAGAACTTTCCGCTGATATGTTCCCTCATTTGACAGCGGGTCGATCAGCACTAGTTGTCTTTGTGTAATGTGAATGACCTAAGAATGTAAGAGGAATTTTATATTAATCCATTTATTTTTTCCCATAAAGCACTTTGGAAGGCAAGACCATACCAGTAGAATCCAGTGAGCGCCGACATTTAGGGGACACAGCCATGTATCCTCTGTGGGGAATTTCATCTGAGACATAAATGTGATCATATTTAGGAGCCTTATGATGACTGCATAACAGTAGTGAGAAGAGACAAGTCAAACCTTTCTTAGAGTCTCAAATCTACCATGAACAAACAGTGCAGATGCCACAACAGCATTGATATGATGCACAGGAGTGTTCTGTTAAAAAAAGGTTGTATTACTTGCCTATAGAAAATGATGTATAGCGATATGCAACAAAACATGTACTATCGATGACCAACTTGCCTTCTCTTTCATCACAAGCACTTTGTAATATGCGTCTATAACCTAGAATGCCGCAAAGAGAATGTAACAAATTTGAAACAATGGTGGTTTAATGAGAAAACTCTTACTTCATCTGACAGCCAATTAGTCCCTTCGAGGGTGCGAAAGGAGGTATCATACAGTTTATAAGGGCCAACAACTGCTTGAACGTGGCCCTTATCCTCTGAAGCCCACAGAGTATTAACTGAAAAAAAGCACAGTTAGAATTGAACATACATAAATAATCCACAAAATAAACATGTTTTTGCAACAAAACATGTGGTACTTGATGGAAAAGAGCCGATTTTAAAAAGGAGAGCTTAAAGAATTGCTAGAGCTATTTTTAATTTAGGAAGTGACTGTAACATTTGAATCATGATGTAGTCAAAGTGTTGAATCTTTTTTTTTAAAGTCTTCTTTTGAAAATAGGCTTGTGGAAGAGACTGGTAGATCTGTGTAGAAAACCCCCTTACCACCAACATTTATCAATGCAAATAGAAGACAAAAAAACAGCAGCAAGAACAAACGTAGGTACAACCATGAGAAATGCCCAAACCCTGAACACGAACTTGGGTTGGCTGAACATATGACCTAACAGGTCAGGACCTTGCTACAACAGTCAAACCTCGCTCTTCTATGCTGGCTTTTTTCATGTCAATGCCTGCATCTTGTGGATGCTGCAGGATGTTTTTACACATGCATGGAAAATGTTAGTAACAATTAAGTTATTGTGCATAAAGTCAAATTAAAGAAGCTACAGAAATGATCAAATGGATAAACAAATAATCATAGACAAAAAGTATCACCATGCTTTTACTATTACCTGGCATGGAGGTGCATAAACTATAACCGAAGGCCTGACAGGCCTCGTTTCGGGTGCCACCTCCTTCTGTGGGCTAAAAGAAATATTCAAATGCAAATTATTATTGTGTATTTTTAGTTGCACATTAACATTCTGATTAATGTTAGTACTTTGTTCCCATTTGAATAAAATACATGTATGAATAAGCACTCCCTACCTTTTGTTGGTAGAGTAGTCTGATTTTGGCCTTCTTTGTTTATAAGGCTTGAGGTGATCTAAACTGTATTTGGAGTTTAAAGTGACACCTTTCAAATTGGCCAGTGTGGCAAGTTTGCCATTAATTGCCTCAATGGTGTACGGTCCACTGAAGTCTGGCTCAATCCGTCCTGTAAGAAGAAAATTACTTAATGATAAACTATACTACTTCTCACACAAGGGATGTGTATGATTAAATGGTTAATTAATAAATATGCTCAAAAGTGTAGATACCCAGACAATTATTGTCAAACAATGCGTTTACCCTTTTCAAATCGACTGAAAAAAAATTACATACAAAAAACCCACCAGGGAATGTAACCTTAGGTAATTATCCTTTTTACAAAACTGCAATATAAAATACTGACCCCCCTTTCTTCCCTTCTTCCTCATGTTGAACAGAAGCACTTCCTGTCCAATGCTATACGACACTGCTCTATATTTCTTTAAGGTTTTTTTTGCATAGGCAAGCCTCTGCTTTTCATGTGCCTGAGCCATTTTTTTTTCTGCTTTGGAGTGTGTCGTCTTCATTTCCTCTTCTCTGCCTTCAATACACGCATTGTATGTTGCTTCCTCTGGGAGTGTTATGGACAGCTGACAAAAAAGTACAAGTTATTTCAAATTGTATTAATGGCATTCACATGACATTATAACGTTCTAAAAATCGTATTTGTTTAAACAATTCTATTACACAAACACAACCAATAGTGATTATCAACCAAATGCTTTGTCATTCCTTGTCCAAAAACCTTCTATGCAAATTTGGTTGATATTTCTAAGCTCATAAATAAAATGGGAATTTACCGGCACATGCACAGGTAGTTCAGCAGGAAAAACGGCCTCCCTTCCATACAGCAGGCGAAAGGGAGTCTGCTTCGTGGATGTGTGGACTTTCGATCGCAACGCGAACAAAACTCCCTTCAAGTACGTGTCCCAATTGTTCTGTCTGTCATTTACAAGCGTTGTGAGCGCCCTGTAAAGACAAACGTATGAGCATCATGGAGAAGGTGCGACAGTGAAAATTATGAATGTATAGGTGCAGTAAACATGTGAGACATAATCTTACTGGTGTAAATTTCTCCATTGTGAGATCAATAAAGTCTATATTATCTATTGAAGATCATGGCCATACATAACATTAAATGTATGCAAATGTTAACTTTAGTTAAAAGTGAATTTATTGTCAAATTGTTGATAGTGAGGGTATTAAACTTACTGCTTTATGTTATGATTTGTCTTCACATCCAGACCATTTGTTTGGGGGTGATATGCAGCTGTGACACTGCGCTCAATATGTAGGAGGGTGCAGAGTTCATTGTTGAGCTGTACATACAACAGAAATTACTGAAATAGTGTTGATTTTTATAATGTATACACAGACACAAAGCTACATACCTCATTTACAAACTCCCGTCCCTGATCAGACAGAATGCGCTTTGGGCAGCCGTGTCGATATATGATGGAGCACAGCCGTTGTGCAACCTCTAACGCAGACTTGCTCTTTAAAGGGTATGCTTCAACCCATTTTGAAAAATAGTCAGTGGCCGTCAGCATATACATGAACCCATCTGGTGTTTTGGGCAATGGCCCAGTAAGGTCTATGCCCACTAGTTCCCAGACAGCTGACACCTGCCAAGGAAAGAAATGTAGCTATTAATTTCCCATAGGCTGTTAAAAAGTTAAGAACAAATTTACCTTTATGTTTTCAAGGGGCAAAACAGCTGCCAACGGCTTTCCTTTCCGTTGACACTTGTCACATTCTCCAACCTTCAATGATAAAATGAATTATGTGCATCTCATGAAGTCCAATTGGTATTTATAATGCTTTAAAACACGTACCCAATTGTCAATGTAAATTGTCATTCCATACCAATAAAATCTGGAACACAAGGCATGTCGCGTTTTAATAATGCCAGTGTGGCCCCCCATTGGCGTAGCATGGAATTGAAGAAAGATTTTCCAGGCCTCCTCTTTTCCTTTTATAGCCTTTCTTGTCCCAAAAAACAGTTCCCCATCTGTATAACAGTAATCACCAACAACAATAATCTAAAAATAAATACCATTTAAAAAAGTAAAGTAGTACTTAAAGGCACACCGTGTAACTCTTGGCCACTAGGGGCGCTAGACCTGCAACTTTCACGTTTAGCGCCCCTAGTGGCCACAAGCAACTCAGCACTGTCGCAAAAGTCAACAAACAGTCAGCCGGTGTCTTTTGAGTGTGTATTCAGACAGCATGCACTGGTGTGTGTGTTCAAACTGTAGAGACATGCCTACAGATATTGAGAGACTCTGCTGTGGTCAGCCTCCAGACCGCTGCATTAGTAATCTACCACACATGGACTTCTATATCCTGGATGAGGGAGTTCTGCGTCTAGCTCGTGCTGCGTGGAATGACATCTTTGCAGTCGATGACATCCAGGAACCAGGTGAAGAGCAGCGCTCATACAGACATGCAGCTTACAGCACGATCCCTTTCGCGTTTCCTCTTTTTAGCCTCCTCCGAAGGTTTAAACTTTTTCCTTGCCTCAGCCATGACCAGGAGTCGAGCAGGTGAAAAATGAGTAGCAAAAGCCTTAGCTCCATGAGTATATCAGCGCCTGTAGCCGTAAAGCAAGTCTTTCTTCCAAGTCACGTGACCTGGTGGCAGACGGTCCGTCTGCTCGAAACTTACATGGGCGGTATTTCAAGAGGGCAGCCCCGCTCGGAGCATTGCAAGTGTCAAGCGCTGTATATTGGCCCAAGTATTCATATAAAATAACTCATATGTGTCAACTCTTTAGGTCACAAAGTCCGCGGTGTGCCTTTAAATGCTTACCCTTCACTGTAAATTTCTTGGCATATTTCCTTAAATTTATTTTCTGATTTTTTGTGAAATCAGTTGGGTATTTTTTATGGCCAAGATAATTAAAAACGTTGTCCCAATTACTCTCCATAATTCTCCAATAATATTTGTTGGGCTAAAGGCGAGGTCGGGGACAGGCGAGGGTCAAACAGGATCAGAGGTGGTCAGTAGCAGACAGATGAAAGATTAGAGAGGAGAGACAAAGAAAATAGTGAGGTTGGCGATAGTAGTAGGTAGATTTCTGGAACTGGAAAGAAGAACAAAGAAAACATAGTTTAGATTTTAAATTTTTATCTTATCTGATCTTATTTGTAATATATTGGGATGTAGGTTTAGGTTATGTGATTATCATACAGCGTGAAGAATATCTAGGGAAGATTTTGGCAACAGTTTCACATGCAGGTCACAAAAGTGTGGTGTTCAAAGTTGCATGTGGTATGTAAAATTACATTTACAAGGGGGGCATATCTCGATGAATGAATTTAGAATATCGAAATTTGCTATCCTTGATATCTTTTACTGGGACGCTAGCTAATGCACATGCACATGAAACTAGCTAATGCACATGTCCCGAGGCTTAAGACTAATGACGTATAACTTCAACCTATAGCTAAAAATATTAACATTATTGTCAACATCTTTACGTTAATTTGAACTAGTACTTCGTCACTGCAATGTGTAGTGTACTAGTGTACAGCAAAACATAGCAAAATACACGAATATAATCTTGTTTCTTGTAAAGACAACCACTCACGTGAAGCTGGAAATGCTAAATCCGATGGCTCGGTAAACCTACTTGGACGCATGCGCAGATGCACTAGATAATATGTTTTGACGGGGGGGGGGGAGAGAGGAAGATCAGCAACACATACAGGAGGGAGAGAGGAAGTTCAGCAACACATACAGAGGGAGAGAGGAAGTTCAGCAACACATACAGAGGGAGAGAGGAAGATCAGCAGCACATACAGAGGGAGAGAGGAAGATCAGCAACACATACAGAGGGAGAGAGGAAGATCAGCAGCACATACAGAGGGAGAGAGGAAGATCAGCAACACATACAGAGGGAGAGAGGAAGGTCAGCAGCACATACAGAGGGAGAGAGGAAGATCAGTAGCACATACAGAGGGAGAGAGGAAGATCAGCAACACATACAGAGGGAGAGAGGAAGTTCAGCAACACATACAGAGGGAGAGAGGAAGTTCAGCAACACATACAGAGGGAGAGAGGAAGATCAGCAACACATACAGAGGGAGAGAGGAAGTTCAGCAACACATACAGAGGGAGAGAGGAAGATCAGCAACACATACAGAGGGAGAGAGGAAGATCAGCAACACATACAGAGGGAGAGAGGAAGTTCAGCAACACATACAGAGGGAGAGAGGAAGATCAGCAACACATACAGAGGGAGAGAGGAAGATCAGCAACACATACAGAGGGAGAGAGGAAGATCAGCAACACATACAGAGGGAGAGAGGAAGATCAGCAGCACATACAGAGGGAGAGAGGAAGATCAGCAGCACATACAGAGGGAG